GGGAACGGGCAGAGAGGCGCAGTGCATAGCGCACGGGGGGTGAAGGAAGGATTTGTGGGAGTTGAAGTCCATTCGTCTTAAAGTTGAAGTTGAAAAACACTGAAAGAGTCCCTCCACTGGAATCAGTATCACTTCCTACTCGCCGCCCACCCTGAAACCGCGGACCAATCAGCGGCTTCTCAGCAAAAGCTAGCACAATCCCTCCCGTCGGACCCGCCCCAACACATTCCCCCGTGCAGGCCCGGTGGGTGGTGCATCCCCTCCTCAGCCCTGAATGATGTTCCTTCAGAACGTGCGGCTCATGGTTTCGCGCATGCTTAAATCGGGAACCAATCCACTTCCCCGTTATGTTTTGTTCGTTTCCTGTCTCTAACGTGGTTGGAGCGCATGCGCCTTGCGCTGTCCTCGAACTTGCCCTCTGCCTGCGCGAGCGGCTTGATGCTGGCGGTTGCGTGAAATTGGATTCGTGCTCCTCTCTGCCCCCATGCAGTAATATAGTGGCAATGGCGGGAGTCCTGAAGAAGGTGAGAGTCGAGAGGGCAGGGGGAAGGACTCGCAGATACATTAGCCAACGTTAGCCGTTCCCAGCCTTCCTGGCTAAAACTAGGGGACGTGCATCTTGTTGCACCAGGTGACCTGGAACAAAAGACAAGGAAGACAAAAGACAAGTTTCTCCGCAGAAACTTCCTAGCGCAGATATTTTTCCTTCCATCTCCAGGCATTGGAGTGCTGTCCTAGATTAGACTTTGCTGACTTTTTGGCATCCTAATTCCCAGCCAAGCATGGTCCTGCTGAGCAGCATGGAAGAGGTATCCTCTCTTAAGAGCCCCATAAGAGTGATGGTGACCAGGTTCGAGGTCCCCCTTAATTGTGGAAGTTCCATGGAGGACTTTGGGCCAGTTACTCCCTCAGCCCAACCTACCTCACAGGACTGTGGTTGTGGGAATGTATGCCACCTTGAAGGAAAAGTGGATGCCAATGTCATGTTAATAAACAGGTGCTCTGGCAGTCTCCTGTCAAACCAGGTTTTCTCCTCGTCTTTTAGCCAGCTCATAGCCTTTACTCCCAGGTAAGTAGGTACAGGTAGTTCTCGTTTAGCAACCACACTTGGTACTGACAACTCAGTCATTAAAGGAAGCAGTCCCTAAGTGGAACCACAACTGTGCTTATGATCTTACTTTAGCTTTCCTTTGCTTTACAGACCTGCGAAGGTCATAAATAGGAGGATTGTCATTAAGTTACTTTTTCATCACCATTGTAACTGCAAATGGTTGCTAAGCAAGGCAGCCACTAAACGAGGACTACCTGTACAGGAGCACAGCTGGCTCACAAAGGCCCATTTTTCAGTCAATCGCCTTGCCTTTAAAGAATGCAAAATATCCTACCTTATGTCTATTACTGGATCTTATTTTGATTGGCCACCCCTATAAATGGTGTAGTTTTCACAATTGTGCTGAGCCATGGTCTAATCGCATTTGCTGTGTAATTAATGCTATTTAAATCTGAAGTGAAATTTTCTTTGTGTGCACATGCAGATGCAAGCACATAGGGATTGTTTTTCACTCATCCAGATATATTTACAATCTGTTGTTCACAGCCTGTGTCATTTTTCTATTCTCTTGTCAATTGTCTTGTTGGTTCACAGACACGTCCTCCACCTCTCGCTCAGAGAAAGGGAAAGGTGCTGTCAGAAATGTGTGGGCCATAAAGACACCCAGTAGTTACATCACTTACCATCCATTATTTTAGGCACAGGGTAATCCTCCTTAGGATAGGGGACCCTGGCCCAGTTGGAATCTGGATCTTTATGCTGAGTGTATCTCTCTAGTCACTTTCTGTAATTTTATTTATTTATTTATTTTCAAATTTATATATGCTGTCCATCTCGCTATGCAAGTGACTCTAGGTGGCGTTACAGATAAAAACTATAAAATCCTAGAAAAAATTTATAAGTTAAAAACTACAAAAGGTTAAAGTTAAGCTAAAAAGTTAAAACTACAATGCAAACTAAAATCACATTAATCACATTAATACCTCCAGATAACTATTTCTTATGCATATATAAGGTAGTTAATCCACATGGGTCTCTAAGCACCCTATGATTTTTTATTTTTTGGTCCAAATTGGTTTGCTAATATGTTGCCTTTGTTTCTAGCTGAATTTTTTTGGAAAGAGAAAAAGATAAATTGCTTTTAGTTTATTAAAAAAGTGTGTTTAGTTTGTTTTGATATACAGTTGGTTAAATTAATCTGATGTGATCATTATTTAAAATCCATTTTGGAGTAATGCTGTTATTAGGATGAACCAGAAAGACACAGAATTGTACAGGAATTTTCACACTTTGGTTTAAATGGCTTTTTGGCTTAGTACTCTAAAATTAATTTCAGCTTTTCTCTATAACTGTACATTCTCAGGTTCAAACAACTGGCATAATTTTTGGATTTTTGTTGATATGTTTTGTTGTTCCTTTTTGTTGTTTGTGTTCTGTTGTCTTGTTTCTTGGCTTTTTAATGTATCTTTAACTTCATAAGTTCTAGAGAATTTGAAAGTACATAATATCCATAAATAACATGTTTTAGGAATGCTGATTCTATCCATGTGCAAATTTAATTGATCATTCAGATAAATGAATATCATTTCTTGATTTAGACTGCTGTTCAATTTAATATATTTTTCTTCATCTCTACAGACTACTGGGCTTGTGGGGTTAGCTGTGTGTGACAATCCTCATGAGGTAAGTATAAGATACTTTGTCATGTTTCAATAATGTGACAAAGCTGTATGTTGTTGGGGCTGCGCCTACACTGGAATTCCCTTCCCTGTAAAGATCAATTGATTTTATTGCTAGTGATCTTCTCTTATCCAGTCACACTGGAGGTTTGGGATGTCTTAGAATTGTAAGTTAAGTTAAACATAAATTGTACCTGAAGGGTGAGGGGTGATTTTTGTAGATTTAGTTGAATGGATGAAATGCAAAGAGGACTGCACAAGGGAAGATGTGGTATAATCATACTAGAATGTTCCTACCTGGCAACGGGTAAAAAAGGAAGACAAAATTGATTTGAAGAGAAAAGTTCTTACAGACAATCAAATATTGATTTCATGTAATTTCTTGTTTTGATTTGCAGTGCATTAATCTGCCAAATTTCATTAGGTTTTAAAATCTTTGCAGTGGTTTAGTATTTAGTATATTCGCTTTAGTGATGCCTGGCTTAAAATTCCTACTTACTCAGTGCCATATGATCTTTTCAGCACCTCAAGATACTCTACACAAAAATTCTTGGTGTTTTAGAGAGTATGCCTAAAGATGCAGCATACAGGAAATACACAGAGAAACTTACAAATGAACGGTTTGATATGGTGAAAACAGTAAGTATAAGTTTGAATTAGTTGACATTTTATGAGTCAAACAGCATATAATCCCTTTATCAAAGAGAATTTTTTGATATTGCTAAATAGGAATGTTTCTTAATTATGATTTATATTAACATCATTAACATCATTTCAGTTAACTAGGTTTCTTATTGATCAGGTAGGATTTAAGTTCTCAATTTCTGTAAGGAAACAAGTTTTTTTTTCCTCCAGATAACCACATGTGAATTGAGAAGAGGCCTGTTGCTAATCCCTTACCCCTTTTCAATCCTGTTTTTTCCCTTCTCCATCCTGTTTTTTCTCCCCTCCTCTTCTGATATTTCTGCTTGAAAAAAATCGAGGAGCATATATGCATATATTTGTATGCTTTTGTGGTAAGAGTGGATTATGTGTAAGATAATGCCTGATACTTGCAGGGGGAAAATAAAATAATTGCACCTTATTTAAGTTGGTGTATTTATCTCCCTTTGTTTTGTTTTGTTTTTCCTTTTAATATAGCTTCTAGTATTACATGGACATGTGGCACATGCCCACGTTTTTTGATGAGGGGGGAATTTCCAGGACTGATTTCAGCTGGAGCAGGCAAACTTAGGTCGACGTGGTGGGGAAATTTGATATTATGCAGAATTGTTATTTGGATTTCTATATGATTTTTTTCTTTTTTTTTTCTTTTGATGAGAAACATAAAGTCTTCTCCAAGTAAAGCTTGAATCCTGTGACTTGATGCATGTGCCTATGTAGTTTCACAGTACAGAAGTGGTTTTCAATTGCCTCCTTCAAGGATATTTTTGACTTCCCAGTGTAGCCTATAATCCTGATATTGACTGATAGTTTCCCCTCCAAATACGAGCCTAGCCCTACTTAGCTTTCGAGCTCAGACAGTGTGTGACTTTCTTAAATTCTTAAATTCAGGGTCAGCTTCATTTCAGTAAGTACAGTTTTTTGCAAAAGGATGTGCATTTGATGAATACTGTATCTCCCTTCATCATACACAGTCAATCCTATATATTAACTGTTTCGTTACAGTTAATGAATTTTATGCCAGCAAGTATAGGTTAGCAACATTGATTCTATACCTACCTTGCATTGTTTCAAATACATTTATTTGCATAACTTGGGTTGTCTAGAGATAGCTCTGTATTCCCACAAAAGTATATCAAATACCAGAACATGGAACTATGATAAAAATTATAACAACCTTAATTTTAAAAAAAATCAGACACCCTATCAGAACCATATAAAAACCCCATATTTCTGTTGAATGACTATATTATCAGATTTTTTTTCCTATTTAATACGTTAAATAGCAGTAACAGTGTTTTAATTTTTAAAAAACGATATATCCAAGAGGACAACCCTATTGCTAATTGAAAAGATGTACATACTGAATACGGCTGGCAAATGTAGCTTTCATTTTTCTTTTGTTTTTCTGAGAAGGCAGAACTACAGTGTTAGCCAATATTTGGAATATTTTTCATTCAGTATCAGACAGAACAGTGTTCTAACTCTCAACAACTTTAAGATGTATGGACTTCCACTCCCAGAATTTCCCAGCCAGTTGAAGTCCACACATCTTAAAGTTGCTGAGGTTGAGAAACACATAGATACAGGTAGTCCTCAACTTATGACCATTTGTTCAGTGACTGTTTGAAGTTACAACAGTGCTGAATGAATGGTGGTTACGACTGGTCTGGAGTTACGGCCATTCCAGCATCCCCATAGTCACATGATTGTAACCTAGGCACTTGGCAACCCGTTCGTACTTACGAACAGTTGCCAAACACCCCGCGATCATGTGATTGCCATTTGCAACCTTCTCTGCCGGCTTACCCAGAAAGTCAGTGGGGAAGCTGGAAGAGAGGCTTGCAAGTTGCTGGGGTAAGTCTCCCCCACCTGCACACCCTTCCCAGCTCCTCTGCACTCGTGCTGCACTGGCCATTCTCACATTCCCACGCACCCTCCCTGACCTGCACCCCCACACATCTGACTTGCACCCCTGCTCACTGCCACACACCCTCCTCAACCCGCACTGCACCATCATGCACCCTCCCTGACCTGCACCGCACACCCTCAACCCGCACGGTGCCTCTCACACACTGCCGCGCACCCTCTCACCCGCGTGGCACCTCTCACACATCCCAGTGCACCCACCCTGACTCACACCCCCACTCATCTGACCCACACCCCTGCGCACCCCCCTCAACCCACACGGCACCATCATGCACCCTACCTGAACCCACACAGCATCTCATACACTGCCACATACCTTCCCCCAACCTGCACGGCACCCCTCCCCACCCACGCAGCTCCTTTCGCACACTGTGTATCCTCCCCGACCTCAGCAGCACCTTTC